AAAAAATTTTTTTTTTTTTTTTTTTTTTTTTTTAGAAAAGACACTTTTCCTGCCATCTGGGTTTTGTTTTTAAAAGAAAAGAAACAGTATTCTTTAATTTGCAAAGAAGATAAGAAAGTTACTCAATTAAAATGGATTCAGGGTATTCCATATAGTGAATTTTAAATTGTATCAAATCATACATCCCAGGTTAGAATAACCTTGAAATAATTTTCTTTGATGTTTCATTCATAAACCATAATCATTGTGTCTTTTTTTCTGTATTTTAAAACTATTGTGTACATTTTTCATAAAGCGGGAAGAGTTGTCTGTTTATACTTCATTTTCACGTGTAATTTTATTTTTATATTTGTGAACAGCGTTTATTCATGTGAAAAGTGGGGAGAGGGCACTATAAGGCTTGTGCATGTGACACAAAGGTTATTCTGTAAACAGATTTTTTTTTCTTCATATGTTGGTGGCATATCCAAAATAAATTAGGCTAAAACAAACCCCTTATTGGTAATTACTCTTTTACATGATTATTTTCCGTAAAATAAAATTGGGAAATATTGAAAATTCAGTTATGGTAATTGTTAGTATTTAAATTGTTATGGGCAAAATCAAAGGATTGTATGTAATTCTGTGACAAAATAACAGTTTCTTTAAAGTAGATATATTTTAGCAAACGAGATCCTTCTTAAGTAATATTACTTAGAAAATAAGCATGTAAGTCTTATTTTTATGGTACACAAATAACCTATTACATTATTTACAGTTTTAAGGGCTTTTTGAAGTAAGAAGGCAAGTTTTAATACTTTTCCTTGCATTTTGAATATATATCAAAATCTTAATTTTAAAATAGTTCTCCCTGTACTGTATTATAGAACTTAACATAAATAATTCTCAAAACATTATTTTAATATGAGGCAAAACTTTTTATTTTTAAAACTAAGCTTATTGAAATTGATACTGTTTTTGGATGTAAGAACTAAATGTTGTATCATGTAATACTAAATTTTAAAGATGTAGCCCTCTGCCTCTCCCACTCCCGCCCACCCCACCCCCCAGTTGAATAGATCTGATCCCATCTTACGAAAAAATTCTCAGTGTCCATCAGTGCTTAAGGTGAATTGTGGCCAACTTAGGGAAATGTTTAACGTATATCAGCCATTTCATTTAAAATAAGGTACAGGTCCTTCAATTTATATTTTTCTTTAGACTTTGTCAGTTATCAACAAGCTTCTAGTTACTGAAGTCATGATAATGGAACTTGCATACATTTTCAGTCATCTCCAAGATTGGATATGCCCATCAAGGGCATTCTGAGCCAGTTTATACCCAAAGTTAATTAACAAGTCTTCTTAATGGTTTTAACATAGTTAAGTAAACTCCTTCTGAAAGGTCCATTGTTAATTTTAAATACTTTGAATTAACATTACATTCCAGTAATGGGTACACCTAACTTTATCATGGTTTGAGTTTCATTATGTTCAGACATTAACTACGAATTCCTAACTTGCAAACTATTGTTGACATTTTTTCTTAATCACTGATGTGTACCATACCAAAATTCCCATGTTTTGTTTGTGCATTAATCAGAATTGAGTTGTAATATTGTTATGTGCCTTCATCCAAGCAAAATTTTACATAAGCATTTCCAGTGCAAAAAATTTTGTTATCCTGGAATATTGTACCTTTGCTATACCAAACAGTATTTATTGTGAACATAGATGTGAATAAATGGGTAGGGACTGGGATTAAATATATCTGAGTGGAAAACTTTTTTGAGCAAATAAAAAATACCTGCACATTTAATCACCATCATAATGAGGTCTATTGACCTTTTTTAGAAGTTTTAAAATATGAGTCCTTTTGAACTTTCATGTAAATCTTAAATGGACTGAGTGGAATAAGTAATGTGGAAGCTAAAGTGAATGTCAGTAGTAAGTCTGTATGCAAATAAAACAATAATGTAATCTATTATTAAAGTGATGATGAATGGCTAAAAGGGCAAGTTCTTAATTTAACTGGAAACTTAAATGATGTTGGCAAGCTGTTAATGTCTGTCCCATCTTAATTTTTTTGTGTGTTTGAACTGTTGGTAATGTTAATTGCATTCTCTCATTTAAAAAATGTATTAGTTTTTCTAAAAGCATTTAATATTTAAGTTCAAATATATGATATTTTAATGGGAATATCGGTATTGTAAATTTCAGCATGTAAATATATTGTGCTTCATATTCTGTAATTTCTGCCTCTATTCTCAGACCACTCTGAGCAAAACAAAAGTAGTTCAGTGTTTTAAGATTATATGCTTTTTACAGAAATAATTTTGTTTTCATAGTTGTTTTCTTTTGTGTTCCTCTTATTACTTGCTGGGAACAACCCTACTCATCGATTTCTGTTAACAGTTCCACTTTTCTTTGTATACTGAAGAGTAATGAAATGAAATTATTTTTTTAAATACTCTTTATTCATGCTTTTCCTCTCTCTGACACATGATGTTTACACATTCTCAAATCATTATCCATTCCTTTGATTAGATTTTAAGCATCATATACGGGGTATAGGTTAAGTAACTATACTTTCCTTTGCTGTATGATTACTTTTATCCTATCACAAATACCATGATCTTAGATTTTGTTGTCATTGCACAAGATTTAGGGTGTTTTGCATTCCTTATTCAATTTATAGCTTTGCATTAATTGGGGGGGAGCCAAAAGAATCAAAAGTTCTTGCATAAATGTTAAGATGTTTTTATCTCCTCAAGAGTTAATGTTACTTTGAGTCTTATGTGAAAATTAAATTCTGCTAATCATCTGATGAATGATACGGGTGGTAATGAGATTTAAAAATTATTTCTGCAACTCTTCAGTCATCTGAGATCTGACTAATACTGTCCAGCCCTGTGTTTATTGTTTCCCCATATATCCTAACCGCTTCATCTGGATATGCCAGCTCTCATTTTTTTCACTCTAATTTTCCTTGCTTTTAGTATTATTTGCAAAACCTGCCTGACTACACAGTTATGTTAATTAAAGTGAGAAGAGGGTAAAAAGTGATCCTAGAATGGATATATAGTATGTGTTTTGCTCACTGTGGTTTAAGAATATGGTTTTGTTTACAAATGATTAATGTTCCCTGTTTAAAAAAAAAAAAATCAGTGCCAATGTGAGTCACCTTGATCTCTCACCTTCATCTCAGTGTGAAATTTACTACCATTGTTTTAGTTTGTAAATTAGATTGTTTTGAATAAATAATGATTCGAATGAATAGTTAGCATTGCTTAAAGGAAATCTAATAACCAAAAAAGGAGTAAGGGTGTCATATATGCTGTCCAAACTTACTAATTTGCCTTGGTGGTAGCATGTTTTAACTCTCATAGTGAAATCTAAATCACACAGCAGCTTATTTTGAAATGTCCATTTTGTCAAATTTTTTGGGCAAAGCTGGGTATTCTTTAACTGTGAAGTTTATTTCTACTATTTAGTGAACTGCCTAGAGCAACAATCCTGTATATGTTTTATAGTGTAATGAAATGCGTTAGTTAAAATGAGGTAAGTACTATCTGCAGAGTTGCAAAGATGAAAGTACGAAATGTTTTGGTAGTAAGGGAGTTTTTTGTAAACATCTACAACAAACAGGATTTTGTGTAATATGTTCTAGTCAATGCAAGAAGGGATTTTGATTTTAAAGGGTTCACTTGTATTTAGATACTTCTAGTTCTTTTGCCCACTTCATCTCCTTTCCTCTCATTAAGAAAAAAGTGAATTTTATTATACTGCATTAATAAAAGTATATCTCTAAAATTATATTAGAATCCTTATTCAGTGTATTAATGTGAAAACCTGTAAAAGATCCATATCTAATATATATTTGAATCTTCTACTTGAAAGGTGAATTAACTGATACCAGTAAATTTGCTTGGATAAGTTTTCTAACAGAAACCCTCGTGATTTGAGTTGTTAGTATTGACTTGTTCTTGCATTATCTCAAAATGCAGGTGCTTCTCTGTATTGAAATTTTAACTTAGTGCTCACTTTATATACTTCATTAAAGAGCCATAGATTCCATCTGTCTTAGTTTTTTTAACAACTGCTTACATAGATCTTCCTTCTATAACTGATAGCTAAAGCAAGAAATTGTGTGGCTTTGACATTACAGATTTGACCACATGGTATTCTGAAAACATGATCGTTGAATGTATTTGTCACTTTAAGCTTCTTTTTGATATCTGTGTTTATGTAGATTTCTACTTAGAAACTTGAGACTATAATATGGAATTGGGTTATTGGAAATGGGTTGTATTGCCTTCAAATTTGCTTTTTCTTTTTTTTTTTGAGATTGTAAAATTTTGTATTTCCAAATGGATAAATGTAAAGTGTTTAGAAATAGAAATAAAAGCTGTCAGATTATCCCCCAGATTTTGTCTGTATGGTGAAAATTAGGGACTTATTAATAGTAAAGATCTATCTATAAGGCAAAAGATAAGTGCATTCATCCTAAAGATATGTGTTGTAATTTCACAAATAGGATTCTCTACCTAAAAAATAGTAAAAATTCTCCATTGGAGTGATGTAAAATTGCAGTGTATGCCATGTTTTTTGGAAGGGTTGGGTATTTTTGTTTTGCTCACTGTGACTTAATTTTTCCCTCTTATTTAAATCCCTTCCAGCATGATAAAATAATTAAGGAGATAACATCCTTTTGCAATAAGATTTATGAATTTCCCATTAATCTATTTTTTCAGATTAGAACATATGCCTTGTCTCTCTTTAATAACTTCAATACCAGTTTTTTTAAGTATATTGCAAAGTAGTAAAGATAAAATTGTGAAAGCTACCTTTCTAGATTTTTTCCATGAAATAATTCCACCAAAAGCTTTATCAGCATAAGATAAAATACAATGAAAGGTAACATCAGAAATGGCTTAAGTATCTATTTGAAAAATATGGGCAAATTAAAAACTATTTAAAAGTCCAGGATTATAACATCTGCTTTTTCATTTTGTAGTTGTAAAATTTAAGTTTTTACTGCTAGGCAGTGTGAATGCGTATGTGTACTGATGCTCTTAAGATGCTTAAACCCTAATTGAGGAGGAAAGGACATAGAAGAAAATTTATAGTTGTGACAGAATATTAATTACTCTTAATTGTAGAGCAGAAAGTATTTTTCAGTTACTTTTATGGAAGACATATCACTAAACATTGTGCCCTTTTGCCTCTTACATCATATTATTGAAACACTCTTGGAATTTATATTTTAAATATCGGGTGTTTCAAGTGATCACTTATATCCACGTTAATTGAATGTTTCTTTTGTGAACCTCTACCTGAAGTTTGCATAGTTATGTATTCCTGAAATTTTAGGTTATCTCATTTATTGGGGTTTTTTTCTTTATGTGAGTTTTCAGTGAAATTTATCATTGTAGATTCCCATTTAGCTTGTTTCGGCTTAGTTTATATACTTACATTAGATATTTCAGTGTAGGTGGAATAGAGGGACAGTAATGTTATAAATTTGTATATGACTGAAGATTTGTACGTGGATGTCATGTTTATTTAAATGTGCATACTGAGCTTATTTATAAATTTTGTAACATGGAGGATCGTTTGATTTATAACATTTGCAGAAGTTCCTGTATGTCAAATAAATACAACTAATTTGTAAAATAATTTATTGCATTTATATTCAGTTCTCATTTAATTGTTTTTGAGTTATATAGAATTTATGTGGGTGAATGATATTTACATTAAAATCATCCAAGTGTTTTTCCATTTATTTTTGTAGTATGCATACTTTAGAAAATGACTTATAAATGTTTCCATCTTCACAGAAACAGTAGCTGCTACATTTTCATTTCTGTTTCAGTCATTAAATTTATAAGGCAATAATGTTTAAGAAAAATGAAATCAGAATGTCTCAGTTTTAATCATCACATAAATTTGGGAGTGTTTCTCCATCACAAAGGCAGCTACTGTTTCAGTTAATTCTTATTTTGTGTTAGAATACGTAACAGTGAAGTAGATGCACGACTTGTGTATGTATAGTTAAGCCAGCATTTTTCTGTGTATTATGGGGAATAGCAAAATCTACATCATAAATTTTGACACATTACAGCTGAAGGAAGAGGAACACCTTCCAAGACAAAACAGTCTTCATGGGGGAAAAATGACGCTTGTCCAGCAGTTTGCTTCTTGTGATTGAACTGAACCTGTAAGGATTCATGGATAAAATGAACAGGAATAGATCTGAATAAAGCAAATCTGCATAAATGGTAACCAGTAGCTCTACTTTTATTTTTTATGTTGCTTACCTGTTTTATTTGAAGGAAACCTGTGTGATTTAAAAAGTTATAGCTTTTGCAACTTTATTACTGGTTATATACATTTGGCCATTATAATGTGCAAGCAATTGGGAAAAAACGTCAAGTAAATGCTTGTTTTATAGTAGTTTGTTCTTGTTAAAAATGTTCATATGATAATGTCTGTAAACAGCACCACTTTGATTACAATAGATGTAGTGTTGTAATAAACTGTTTAATGGGGCTGATGTGTAAAGCTGTTCAAGTTATTTGATGTTTACACCTCAGGGAAAGTCTTGTGTTCAGCAATATCTAAAGATAATGTTACTATGACATTTATACTGTCCTTTAAAAAAACATTGCAATAGCATTTTTGGATATGCATCAATCTAATCTTGCGTTCAGTGAATTAAACATACTAATTAAGTGTCTCTTGCCCTTGATTTTGATATTAGAATAGGTGATTACATGGGTATTTAATATTTCTATATTCTGCTTTTCTAGCTGTTTTTACCTAGTTAAGCTTGTGACTTTGCTGAATGGTATGTAAACTTGTAAAAACTGGAATTTCACAACATAACAACCCAGTCATTGTGTTAGGGGTCAACAAAGATTTTGTGGTTTTAACATTTTAGTAAAAACCCACACGTGATTTGCTACAGTAATGCAGCTTAATTACAACACAGATGTACTGAAACGCTTAATTGTAAACTGCTAGCATTGAAGAAATATTTTGACAGTTCTGATTTGATGCGGCAGTTATTAGCTATTTTATATTGATAGTGCTTATGGTTTATTTTTGAAGCCATGGGCAACGTAAATATAGGCAGCCGTGCAGCAGACAAATGTGAGTAAAGAAAGCCTTAGTTTTATTTTCCAGTTACAGGAAATAGATTTCTGAAGGGTGTGATGTTTATTAACATTGGGTTGTATTCTCCTATATGTGTAATAGGAGATTATAGGTGTACCGATCTCCACAGTTTAAGGAGTTCTGTGTATTCATGCAACCTATTAATTCATGCTAAAGTTACCTAATCAAAGATTTTTTTCAAACCTGCCTTGCATATAAGCCCACATTAAAAGCACCTGGCTAGCATGTGTTCTTAATTGTAAAATTAGCATAGGCAGTGTCAATTTGATTAGACATTTTTATGGAAAGTTCATTCTGAATCGTTACTTCAGAAATTTGAGTTAAAATTCTTAAGCAAGTTAATATGTTTTTTAATGTTTTTAAAATCTGATTATCTTTGAGAGATCTTCTGATAATACACTTCCTTTTTTTTTTTTTTAAACGTATAGCCAAATTTCAGGACGTTGCTTGTTTAGGCACCCTAAATAGTATGTAAGTGCAACCTTAGAAGCCCTCCAGAGAACTGCAGTTCTTTACTTTCATGTTGTCCACCATCATACCAGTTCTTGCAGAATTAGCTGTTTTAAATTATCCATATTATTGCCAGCTTTATTTTAAAACATTTTGTGGTTAGAGTATTTGTGCATGGAATCATTGGTGTTTATCAGAACTGTTTGCTCTCAGAAATGATTTTTTAAGTGTTCTGTCTTGTTGAAAATGCAGTTGCCTTTTTAACATTTGAGAGTTGTATCAAAATCAGTTTTCTTGCTTTGTGTATAGATGTTGTTAGTTTTCGTTATTTCTTAGATTTTTTTATATTACAATGCTGTAATGCGAAGAAGTGTGGACATAAATATATTACAAGGGAATTAGTTAATAGTAAGCTTAAAAGGTAAGTAAATGTCCATGAGGATACAATTTTCTCTGAACAGTTTAAAAATGGGATCATAAACATCTTAACTGTGCTTGAACTTGAAATGAAAACTGGAAATTTTATACTAATTAAATCCTTCATTTACCTTTTCATTTTTTTTTTTTTAATCAGTGGAACCCTTTAATTGCTCATACTATATCACTCTTCTCCCTACTTGGCTGATCTCATTACGTGACTTTTGTTGCAGACAACGTGAGTGTACTAGAATTGTTTGCTGTTAGTCTATTATAAGTGTTATCAGAAGGGAATAACTTTTTGATTTGACCAATTTTTGCCAAGTCTTTCTCTATCTGATACATGAATATATAGCAATGAAGGTGAAAATGCAAGCTATGTTTTATTCTTCATATCCCCTTTTTTTTAATGGGCTGATGTTATTTGAAATTTTTTTTTTAATGTTTAAAAACAATCCAAAGAGATAAATCTCTACATAGACACCAAAAAAAAAAGAGTCCCAGAGATCTTTTCATTTCTTCTTAATAATAATTATAGTGGATATGAAAACAAAACTGAATTTAATTTTAAACCATAGCACTTGTTAGTGCTATGCCATCACATTCCTTTCAGCCGGTAAAGTTATGAATGAGTGATGCAGCACCTGAATGGTATTGCTTTTGAAGCGGTACTTTGAATTGAATGTGCTGCTTTTGGTTAATGGACATAGGTTTTGGAAAGGATATTCCAGTATAAATTTATAAGTGTTTATTTTGTCAATTTTTATAAGCAAGATTCGGAGTAAGTTACAGTGGCTAATGATCATAGTTTAGCCCATTTACCTAGAATATTCTTAAGCAGTTAACTACAATTTGGAGTTCACAAAAAACTTATGGATTGTAGCTTAAGGTATTACTTTCAGTTAATTCTCCTGTGGAGAATATTGCTTTGTTTTCTACTAGTTTAAGGTCAGTTCTTAAAATAAACATGGAGATTTTAATGAATGTTGTATAACATTTTATAGTGAGGGGGAAAAATTGTTGGAAGGGTAAAGACTTTCTTTTCCTTATGTATTTAAATGTGCCAATAACCTAAATACATACTGTTTTATACAATGAGATGCTACTACAAAACTTTCTGTTGGCGTGCTCTGACATTTTGGTTTTCATACCTGAATGATCATTGCGTTTTCTGTATCTTGTAAGATGGCTTCACTTTTGTGTTTTAAGCTTCAGCTTGTTATTTTAAGAGGAAGTTTATGTTCTGTTTCTTTACTGAGAATACAGTATTGAGATCCTAGCTGTTTTACAGATAACTGCCTTTTAAATTTTATTCATTAAGTTCATTTGCATCCCATAGCCATCTGTAATATTTCCCATAGTTGTATGTACTTTTAAGTGCACGCTTACCCATTGTACACATTAGACATTTTTGTGCTAAAATATATTAAGTGGGATTTTTGTAGCAAAGTATTTTTCTGTTTTTACAGTGTGTGTGTGTTGTTTTTTACGTTAACCTTCAGTTTAAACACTGGTGTATTTTATTTTTTAGCAACTTGACTCTTAGAAGCCTTAGACTAATTTTTTAATAAATATTCAACCAAAAGTTATAAATTTATTAAGATGTGGCCTTACATATAGCATTCCTTATGTTTGTAATGTGAGATTTTTGATTTAGAGAACTCAAAAGATTCAGGATTAAAGTATCTTATTGTAAGTTGAAATAGAAAATGTGTTAAAATGTCTAAAATGTCTAGGCTTCTGGGAGGAAGTTCTTATACTCTTCTTTCTTGGTATTAGAAAGAAGCAATATGAATTTCTATGAATATTCAAAATATTCAGGCAGTTGTATCTTGTTCAGATGGATTTAGGTTTGTCTTAACCAATTTCTTTAAAATTTCAGGTTGTTGGCATTCACTCTGAGTATGCAGCTACTATGGTTTTTGTATGGGACATACAAACACTTGGTTAGGTATAGACAGATGTTAGTGTTTTAAAGACTTCCTGCTATATTAATTAGCATATTGTAATGGAAGTTTTTTAAAATATTAGGTGGAGTTTAATTGAAGTCACACAAATCTTGAAATGGTATCTGCAGATAATAAATACTACAGAGAGTTTTTCCTGTGGGAGTATCCTAAAACTCTGCCATGGGTGTAAATGTTTTACATTAATTTCATAATTGGACAGACCCTGCATTTAGTGAAAACATTTCATTTTGAAGATGTGTTCTTTTTGTCTCATTGTTACTGCGTAACACTTCTCAGCATTCTGTAAGTTAAATTATTTTAAAATGGTGAACTCATGTTTATTTTTTTACTTTGAAAATTGTAGTACTCAGGTGGTATTTAATGGGAAAGGATCCTTTGGGGTAAATCATAATGTATTCTAAGGAATGCATCTATAACATTGACTTTAGCCTTAAAGAAAGGTCTGTTACTCCTTCCTCTTCATTCCATGGTATATTAGCAAAGTAGTTTACAGCCTTGTACAGCCTTACAAAGTTGTTTTACAATTTTTAATCGAAAGCCCTTAACAAAAAACTGTATCATATTACCAGTATACATGCATTACTGAACCATGGTTTGTAAATAATTTGACTAATACCAGAAGGCCAAAGAAAGTCTTAAAATTTTAGCTATTGACTCTATGGTGACTTCACAATAAGATTTCTGTGCAAAAGGTAAGGTGATATTTGATCAAATAAACATCTTTTTGGTGTCCCTGAGAACTAGACTTCCATATTCGCTTCTATTAGAAAGCTCATCCCATTTTATTAAAATGTTTGTAATTGCAATTTTGTGTTTAATGTTTACTTTCTGCCTTTTCTTTCTTTAGCATTTAGGTGACTGTTCAGCAGTTTGCTATATGGCCATTGTTGGCCTTTAAACTGCACTAGTAACGAGCATGGTATTTATCTTGTATTGAAAATAAAAAGTTTTTATAATACTTTGCAGTTTGTCTTGTTTGTTTGATTTATAATTTTTTAACCATTGTGTATGGTGTGAATAATTCATATCTAATTGCAATATGCAGTATAACAGAAATTGTACTGTTTGTATTTTATCTTTAAGCCAGCTTCCTAGATACTGGTCATTTTCTTTTGTATTGGCCTTTTGATGGTCTTTAAAGCAGATATGTGACTAAAATTAGGATTTAGGAACCTAAAAGATTTCTAGGCTGCTTTATTTTTAAGTCTAAGATTCAGAAAATGTTTGTCTAATTTTAGAGGATTATTAACCTTACTAGACTTTAATCAAGTAAAAGTTTCTAGGTTGTAGCAAAAATATTTCATACTAGCTTTGAAGTAGTACAGAGTCCTTTTTAAACAGTAACAAATTATGATTTCAATAAAGATTTGTGTGCCAGGTGTTAAATCAGGCCCTAGATTTCTCATCTGTATGATTCAGTGTATGTTGAAGGTAGCAATTCTGAACAGTTGAAATAACGATATAAGAAATAAATGACCATTACTAGGATCTCTTTCCGCGACCCCATTAAAATTGTGCTTGAGGTTTTATTAGTTT